TAGAAATGTCCGAAGTTAGGGGAATTATTGGACTGTTTGGAAATAATGGCTTAAATGCACTTTAGTAATATTTTGCATATACATTAAGGCATTTTCCTTGCTTCTAGCAAATGCAAACATACCATGGAAGGGGAAAGAAACGTACACGGAGGAAATAGAATTTGAGGACAAAATAAGGCCTCGTTCACTTCACCGATTCAAGTTTAAAATTTGAGTTTTGTTACAGTAAAAAATTCTCAGAAATAGTCACATCTAAATTTTTTATTACAGTAAAAAACTCTCACATAAAATCACATTTCAACTCGAATTATAAATTCGAATCAGCGAAGTGAACAGGACCTTTCATTAATCGATTCAGTTTGGTTGTTTAGGTGTCAGGCATGTTAGTCTCATCAACTTTTTTACGTCCGGAGACAGATCCAAAAAATTGAGTGAGAATGTACGCACATAATATTTCAGATTTTAAAGGAGTGCATATGTAATTTTAGATTTTTAAGGATGACAAACCATAAATTTTAACAAAATACAACCCGTTCGGTTTGCTAATTTGAGTTTTTAATTCGAATTGAGATGTGATGTTGTGTGATAGCTTTTTACTGTAACAAAAAAGTTAAATGTGACTGTTTCTGAGAGCTTTTTACTGTAGCAAAACTCAAATTTTAAACTCGAATCAGCGAAAAGAACGGGGAGACGACCGCCCATCATCAAGATGTGGCTTCCCCGCTATTTATGCTTCAACTTCTTAGGTGACCCCTGTGCTTCTTGAACTCGAAAGCTTGAACATGTTTTTTTTTTTTTTAAGAAACATTTTGTTTTTTTTTTGTTTTTTTTAAGAGAACACTTTTTTTTTGTTTTATTTTTTCTTATTTTGTTTTTTTTGATAAGATGCCTGTTAAGTTAAAAAAAAAAATTTTATAAGACAACAATTCGCCTAGCTACATTGTTGTTGTTTTGTTTTGATTTTTTTTTGTTTTTTGTTTAGTTCACGACGATTAATAGGCCTCACCACCACCGGTTCATAAAACGCTCTCATAAGACGATTTCAACAGTGATTTATGAACAAACACAAACTTGATAGCTTTTTCCATAGGTAGTGGCAATGGGCCATATTGGCTGAACCCTAGACCATACATAGGACAAACAATTCAAAAATAATAGAAAAGATGTCCATTTATTTTCAAGCAATAAATCTTCAATCTGATGAAATTTCTAGATGATATAACTGAGATAAATCAAGGATAAGGAAAGAATATCATGCTGATATATCCATCTAATTGTTAGACACAAAATTTCCATCTAATTTTAGTGTCTCAATTAATTTCTGATGTTTATTAATCATAATGTGTCACTTTATTTAAAAATTTTGAAATGCTTTTAAAACTCATGGCTAGAGTTTTCACTTTCAGCTGCAAGTCAAAATTAAAAAAAAAAAAAAGAAAAAAGAAAAGAAAAGAAAAAAAATCCCCTTCTAAAGACTATTTATAATGCCAATTATTCCAAATAACAGATAATTAAAAGTTCCATATCAACATAATCGATTTCTACCTGTAAGTAAAAAATAGCAAGAATCGATCAAAAAAACACAATCTTTGTAGACAATAGTTTCTTGCAAGTCAAGAAAGCCGTTAAAAAAAAATCTCAAAAGGAAGAAACACTTATCCAATTGCAATTTAAGCCACACCCACACTGAGGGCTCTCTTCAAAATCGTCAACAGGAAAACTCGCACTGGCAATTCCCACAGAGAATTCCAAGTCGTCGCCGCTTCTTTTGACCTCAACAATATCAACCCAGAACTAGAACGAGAAAAGCTTCGTACTCAACCCTTCCAAGCTCTCCAGCTTTCGATTCGAAATAAAGCCTCTAATGGCGGGCTTGTAGTTCAACTGGTACGGGCCCTCCACAGAGAAGCTACAGCTGTTGTTGAAATACGCAGCGAATTTTCCGGTGGAGAGGTCAAGATCGTAATTTTTCACGCCTTTGGGAAGAAGCCCACTGGGCAAGTCGTAGTTTCTGGGGACTTGGTAAACGGAGGGCTTTTCAAAGATGGAAAGTCTTGTTTCGGATATTGTTAAGGAATTTATGTTTGTGAATAGGCAAAAGATTGCGAGTGAAAGCATGAGGTTTTTCTGATTGATGAGAAAGAGGAAGAGGAAACCCACGTTCAATCTGGCGTCTGAAAAGGTTGGGGTGTGAATTTCGTTGGTCCAAGAATAAAATGGTAGTTGGGACTCTGGACTTGGGATTGTGAACGGTTTGGTCTCTTCCTATCGCTGGTGCTTTTTCTGGTAAGTGGTTGAGTTTTGGAACGGTTTGGACTAGTTGGGTATTTTGGCTTTTAGAGGGTAATGTTGACGTTATCGGAATAAAGAGGTAAAGTAAGGATGAAAATTCGTATTGTTGAACCCTCAATTAATACTATAAGCTTTTATTAGAGTATGACCTATTTATTATCCGTGACGGTTTTTTAAATAAGCTAATAAATAGTTGAACTTTGGTAAATTTGATTTATCGGATCTATTACATTATTAAATTTAGTAAATTCGTGATTTATTGGATTTACTCATGACCAAATTTGATCTTGGGATTTATCCGGATTTACCGCATGATCAAATTTGATCAACGTGTTGTAATTCTCACGAACGATCTCTCCGGCACGGCCCCTGCAAGTAGATCTCGCGCTCACAGGTCCCGTCGTGGCATCAACGCTAACGACAGGGTCACATGGCAGTGAGCTCTACCTTGCATTACTTAGGAGAAAAAGTATGTATGCTGGTGCATCACTGCATTCATAAAATTGGACCTACCAATGCTCAAATCTCACTAATCAGGCATAAACTTAGTTATCTCGCCAACCCTCACGGTGAGATTTAGTACATTTTAATGGTGAGATTTAGTCAAAATCGTATCGAAATTGAAAAAAAAAAAACATAATAAATAATTTTTAATACAGATTTAACAATTAAAAAGTAAAACCTACCCGTAATTTATTTTCAACCCTACACTAAATCTCCATTATAAGTAAGTAGAAAAAGTTGGTATAACATTCAGTAAAAAAAAAAAAAAAAAAGTCGGTATAACAATTAAATTACCCGCGGGCCCTAGATAAATAGTGCCATTACCTTTCAAATGCATGATGTTTATTCAAGTTGTATGCTTCATGCTTAGCTATCTTCAGTGAAGCTGCTCTTGTTCTGCAATTCTGTGTGTGTGTCGGAATAAAGAGGTAAAGTAAGGATGAAAATTCGTATTGTTGAACCCTCAATTAATACTATAAGCTTTTATTAGAGTATGACCTATTTATTATCCGTGACGGTTTTTTAAATAAGCTAATAAATAGTTGAACTTTGGTAAATTTGATTTATCGGATCTATTACATTATTAAATTTAGTAAATTCGTGATTTATTGGATTTACTCATGACCAAATTTGATCTTGGGATTTATCCGGATTTACCGCATGATCAAATTTGATCAACGTGTTGTAATTCTCACGAACGATCTCTCCGGCACGGCCCCTGCAAGTAGATCTCGCGCTCACAGGTCCCGTCGTGGCATCAACGCTAACGACAGGGTCACATGGCAGTGAGCTCTACCTTGCATTACTTAGGAGAAAAAGTATGTATGCTGGTGCATCACTGCATTCATAAAATTGGACCTACCAATGCTCAAATCTCACTAATCAGGCATAAACTTAGTTATCTCGCCAACCCTCACGGTGAGATTTAGTACATTTTAATGGTGAGATTTAGTCAAAATCGTATCGAAATTGAAAAAAAAAAAACATAATAAATAATTTTTAATACAGATTTAACAATTAAAAAGTAAAACCTACCCGTAATTTATTTTCAACCCTACACTAAATCTCCATTATAAGTAAGTAGAAAAAGTTGGTATAACATTCAGTAAAAAAAAAAAAACACAAAGTCGGTATAACAATTAAATTACCCGCGGGCCCTAGATAAATAGTGCCATTACCTTTCAAATGCATGATGTTTATTCAAGTTGTATGCTTCATGCTTAGCTATCTTCAGTGAAGCTGCTCTTGTTCTGCAATTCTGTGTGTGTGTGTGTGTGTGTGTGTGTGTTTTATTACCTTCTTTTCCCCACACATAAGTATACTGTATTGAGCACGTAGATTCTAATTGCACCTACTTGATCTACAACCGTTTGATCAAAAGATAATAATGTTTTTCATGTTACTTTGGAAAATTACAACCACATGATAAGAGATTTTGTCTTTGTATTCTGCGAAAACAGAAAAAGGAAAAAGAAAAAGATTATGTACATATATTTGGATAATAAATATATGTACATATATTAGTCTTTTGTAATATATCTTTCATGTTTGTACCAAATTTTCCTTTTTCCTTTTTGTTGTTGTTGTTGAAAAAAATAAATAAAAGAAGCCGACCTTCATGTTTACAGTTTATATTCTCTATAGATATCTATCATGTTCTTTAGATTGCCCCCAGCTGACACTATCCGAAAATAAATGTGGAAAACATCGACATGTGGTCCTGGTTTAATGTGTGAGGCCAGAAAATAACTTTCATCCCAATTTCTCACCTACCAAACCTCATTGATCATGAGGCTTCTTTCAATTGGGTATTGAACTTCATAGAAGTGTTTTCTGTTTAGACATTTCTAATTAAGTAATTGTATCAGTGATGGAGATTATGGTCCTCCTTGTTGAATTGGGAAGGAGAATTAAAGGAAGGCACAAAAAGTGTAAACTGTAAAGTAAAGGATTCGGAGTTCAAATCCATGATGTGGAGTGGCCATTTATTGAGCCTCACCATAGCTAGTGGAAGTCAACATATTAAAGAAAAAAGAGAAGGCATTACTACTATAATTGCAAATCTAAGAATTCTACGAGGACATTGGGAAAAAAAATAAATAATCCTCCGATTGGTCTATATTTTGAACTGTAAGATTTGTATCATATTCTATTAATTTTGCATACTTTTTTTAAAAAAATTTATTTATTTAATGTTAAGAAACATGCACTACTAGCAAGGATATCTAATCTTATTGTAGAAAGCTTATTTTCAATATGGGAAAAGTTGATTTTTGCACCTGATTTGTTTACTGCATCTAAAACTTAACCGTATGGATTGGCTACAAATGAAAAAATTTACTCAACACGTTTTTTTCTAGGAAACCACAGTCGTTCTAGTATGTGTATCCTGTTGCAATTGTTCAGAAGACTTGATAAGTGGTTCATGCTTGTCTTGATGCTCTAAATCATCCACTATTCGCCTGGATGACTTGGGCTTCCAGTATATTGCATAGAGAATGAGCTGAAGAGTTCCTAGGAAAAATCCAGTCCCATTTGGCAACTACATGGAAAAAAAAAAAAAAAAAAAAAAATTAATAAGACCATTTCCAAAGATTTTACTCACTCTCTGAAATAATCACAACAAAAGATGAAAGAAAAATGTTTAAAAGAGTATGATCAAGTATGTGATATTTGTAAGGAACTTACTCCAACAAACAAGTCTTTTGCCAAAAGGGCATAAGCAGTCCAAACTCCTCCATTTAAGAAAAGGATAAATGAGAGAAGGAAAGGCATGTATTCCACACTCTTTGTTAGAAGTAATGTTTTCTGTACACCAAATGATGCAGAACATGGCATTAATTAAGCAGTTTTACATGAGAAAAACTGCATGTATAGAATTTTTTGCCTTTTTTTTTTCCCCCTACGATGGCTGAAAGAGGTGAAGCATATGCAACCATACTGAAGGCTACGCACAATAACCCGGCAACGTCGATTCGAGTATCTCCGTGTAGCAGAAAGTGAGTGCACAAAATTGCTGCTGCAGGGAAAACCACATCTAGGACCACAACAAGAATGGCAGTCCTAATCTGATATCATAACAAAAGTCTATTATTGAAGCAATAATTTGATGGTAATAAGTAAAAAATTAAATCACACTCGGAAAAGAAGATTGAATGGATTGAGACAACAACAAAAAAAAAAAAAAAAAAAAAAAAAAAACAAAAAAAAAAAAAAAAAAAAAAAAAAAAAAAAAAAAAAAGACTAAGAAGAAGAACTTAAATCACACTTGGAAAAGAAGATTGAATGGATTGAGACAAGAAGAAGAAGAAGAAGAAGAAAGATTGACCTTCATCCTTGGAGGTGCAAAGAGTAAGAATATAGTGAGAAAAATGATCTCCACAACAGCACCAAACATATTAACAGTAGCCACTAGAAGGCTGTCAGGCTTAATAAGTCCATAGTAAATCCAAAAGTAAGCATTCAGTAATTTGCTAACATAAGGGATGCTCTCGAATTCCTCCGTCGATCCACGCTTACAGATTCGCCAAAACACGTTTCTGAGAGAATTATAGTTCAGAAAGTTCTTTCAAATTTAGCTTTCATGTTAAAAGGCAAAACTAATTAAGAATTAGAAATGGAAAAACTGAACTAAGCTTATTCAGTAGTACTACTTACGCAGGAGATATGTAAACTAGCCCTGACATAATATTCCCTGTATATGCAGGCTTTAAATCTTTAGAATCAAAACAAAAAATAAAAAAATAAAAAATAAAAGAAGAATATCCCACACAATTATTACCAAAATTAAAAAGCATATAAATTATTACTAAAATTAAAGAGCATATAAATTATTACCTAGCATCCCAAAGAAGATGATTAGTGAACCTGCCATGGTTGGTAATATTAGGATAGGAATTAGGACCCCCTTTGCTTTCTTCTTTGAAGAGTGGAACTTTGGGATAGTTTTATTGGAATCTTAAGTTCTTTGAAGGTCCTACCAATTTAGATATTTTCTTCTTTATTGTGGCTTGGTTTTCCGTATGCGGGCTTTGTCATTCATATATGTTTCACTTTTAATTTGTTATTACTATTATTTATTTTATTTTATTTTATTTGGAAGAGCCATCTTATGATCAGATTTGCTGGAGACTTGGGACGAGCAAATTTGAGTCAACTCTTTTTGTCTCCCAAAACGACAGACCAAGGACAGCGATGAGTAAATGTTACGCATCCAGTAATGTGGAATAACAAATCAGGTTCGTTTGGTATGAGAATTTAAAATAATGTGATTTTAATTATAATTCTAAAACTAAAATAATGATTTATGATTTTAGGTTCAAATCATAATTTTAAAATCATGATTCAGAATCAAGAGTTTAAATCACATTGAATCAAGAGATGATGATTTTAAAATTACGATTTGAGCCAATTTAAAACATCACAGTAAATTATAAATCATGATTCAAAATCATCTAAACCAAACACTGATTCTGAATTATGATTCAGAATCACTATAAATAAACATTGATTCTGAACTAAAATTTAGAATTATAATTTTGAATCCAACTACTAAACGCACCCCAAGAAATTTATTTATTTATTTTCAAGAGCAGAGCAAGGAAATTAAACTATTAATACAATTTAAAGGAAGCGATGTTGTCCTAGTATTTATTGCATAACCATGTTCTGTGCGTAGTCATGGAAAGGAATTTGGAAAGCAATAATTAGGAAATGAAAACTACTCCTTTCTTTTTCTCTCTGTTTTTTTTTTTTTTTGTTTTTTTTTTTGTTTTTTTTTTTCTTTCTACTGTTAGAATATTTCATAACAATCAAAAGGCAAAACACAAACACAGAAGGAGCCAAAAGGCCAAAAGGCCAAAAGCCAGTGACAATAGAAGAAGCCGCTCGTGGGGCACACCCCACTCAAAAACATTTGAAAAAAAAAAAAAAAACTCAGCGGATAGAAGAACAATCAACAGAACCGAAAACAAGGGAAAAGGCGGCCCATTTGGCTAAATTGTCAGCACCAATAGGGCTGTCCATGAACCGGTAAAACCCACAGGCAAACCCGCAAAATTCACATGTCCAACTCACCTCACTCTAACCTAACTCAAAAAATATAATTTTTAATATTAAAATTTTTTTTCAACCCATTCAATATTTGGCTCGAAGTTTTAAAACGGGGTGTGGGTTAGATCTATAATAGTCCGCACACCCCAACTTAACTCACATTCTAACTTGCCTCTACTAATATCTAGTCAACTCATTTCTACTCTCTAGTTTCTTCATGTTTGAATTAAGCTTCTATGTTAGTTTTATGTTAAGACTAATTTATAAGTGTAGACTAATTTATGTTTACTTTATGTTTGATGTTGGATCGACTACTTTGCTTCATGTTTGATGTTGGATTGAACTTTGAATTTCTATCTATTTAATTGTTAGAGTTATTATTTCTATTTGATAATAAACTTTGAATGTTAGATTGAACTTTGAGTCTTTGATTCTTTGAATATTGAAACCGACCACCCAACCCATCCCGCACCGTCCTAATCTAACCTAAACATCATTAAGTTGTGAAATTTTTCTAACATCATTGGAGTTAAATATGTGTAACCCGCACCTTTTAAGACAGGAGAAAAAAAAAATTCTACGCCGTACCAACCCAATCCATAAACAGCCTTAAGCACCAAAATTGACAAAAGTAGCCGAGTCGGATTCGATAATGATATCGGTCTAGTTGTGGAGGCAATAAGATAGCTAGTACGCTAGTAAAAGCTTCACCAACGAGCAGATCAATAGGAGGGTAGGGCATGATAAGCGTAGTGAGGATGGCAGCAGCAGCAGCGACACTGACACATAACTCATCTCGAATACCGTCATCCACGTTGATCGCGCGACCACTGAGGAGAAACGCAGCCTCCAGAAGTGGTCAGAACTCAGAAGAGAGCCCTTATAATCAACAAAACAGGCAGAGATCCTCTTCAACAACTTCTTGAACGCCACATCATTCCACCGCCAAATACGCTCAGAACAAACAGAAACAAACAACATAAAGTACTCAATGAAACGAACATTTGATTTACGTTGTTCATTTCCAATTAATTTCTTTATCTTGTTGATTTATCCTCCAAAAACAGGTTCTTGACCAAAGAAAAAATAAAAAACAAAAAAAAAATAGAAACTGATTTTGGCACGCTTAACATTAACTTAGTTTGGTAGTGCTGTGAATTTTAAAAAAAATTACTTTTAACTGTATTGAAGAGAGAAGTAGCTGTTACAAAAAACAACTGAGTGTTTAATAAAATGTAATTATACTAATTGTGCTGATTTCAAAATCAGTCTAATAGCGTTTGGTAAATTTTGAGGCTAAATTGTTGTGAATATGTAAAATGACAAAAAATAGACATTTGTATGAAACTTAAATATATATAATTGTTTTTGGTATTTAGAAATACTTGTTGAGCTTACCAAAAAAAAAAAAATGCTATGATTCTGAGTTTTCTAACAAAACTTCAGTGACAATTAATTATTTTTTTCATTTCTTCATTCACAATATAATCACAACTACAAAGAGTATTAGTGAGTTATCAACATATATAACAAAAATATACATTCTATGTTCAAAAACTGGTAGAGTCATGAAAAGAATTAAATCGTGTTCATTAAACTTATCACAATTTGATCTCATACTTCATCCATTTCCAGTGATAGTAATTCTTATAATGCAAGCAAAACATTTTAGCTTTCTTAGAAATAGTGATCATTCAATCATGATTAGTACCGTATGTTAAAACTGGAGTTTCAATTACAGACACTTGAAGAGAAAGTGATTATTGCATGAAACTACTGAATTGCAATATTGTGCTCATGGATCATGCCATGCCGAAAATCCTCAAAGCAGTAAATCTACCAACAGTCAAGAGCTTTAACAAGGGAAACCATCAAATCGACCAAACAAAATCTGACATGTCTGGTTTGGTTCCTAAGAAGTTTCATGATTACATTAGTAATGTCACAACTCGGAGCAGCCTAGATGCAGAGAGTCTCATTTTTGATACAGACGTGTCATGCTCATTGTCTAGCCCTTCCACAAGCAATCTTATTCCATACAAGAACTTTCTTGATTTGAATTCCCCGTGCTTCCATGAGAAAGTGGAAGCACAAGTATCATTCAAAAAGTCTCATTTGCACAGCAAATTCCAACCATTTAATAAGCCATCAAATTTTGTCACTGCTAAATCACATCCAAAGTTATTGGCCAATAATCCCTGGTATGAGAAAAACAACAGCTTTGATGGTATTTCAGAAATTGATATTTCAAAAGGTAAAATTGGTATGGCACTCTCCCTTTTATTTTACAAGGCATAAATTAAAGATCCCACTATTTTCAACATCTAATTGTTGTTGACTAGTGAAACTTCTTGAAACAGAAATGGAAGAACTTTATAGTAATATTACACAGAAGGCACCTGTTCCACCTAGAAGATCAGTTGACTCAGCAAGCTTGAGGCAAAATCTTGAGAGCTCACACTCCTCTAAACATATGATTACTATAAGAGACTCCATATTCGATAACAAAACCGAACCCCTTGTTGAGTCTTCCACTTCTCCAACCATCAACAGAACATCGAGCGTAAGAAAAGCCATGTCCCTATACATAAAACAACCACCAAACCCTCCATTCGTGCTAAGAATTATAACCACTGGTTCTTTGGCATGTACAAAACCATTCACAAAGCAAGGAAGCCTAATATTCACATAAACATTTCACAAGACTAGGATTTTAATCACAACCCTCACCATCAACACAACATTACCATCAAAACAATTATAATGGTTGGTTCCTTGCCATGTACAAAACCATTCACAAAGCAAAACAGAGTAATATTCACATAAACAATTCACAAGACTAGAATTTTAACCACAACCCTTACTATCAAAACAACATTAATACAACTTAATCCTCTTTGTTCAACTCCAAAGACATAACAATTTAGTGGCGAAAACTTTCAAGAGAACTAAAGAATTAAAGTAACATGGTGAAGACTTAACCAAAACGTTTAACACCACAAAACCGAGCAAGTCACTTTCTACCAAAATGTCAAAATGTAACAAACGAATAACCCACCAAATATAGCTTTTCATTTCTATTCAATAAGGATTTATAATGTCCCATTTAGAAAGAGAGATTAATATATAAACTTGGGGGCAACATTCCCATTTACCACCGAATACAGG